CCCCCCCCCCCCCCCTACCGCAGCAACCCGTGAATCATGAGCTGCGCGTACACCCCGGCGCGGGTTTCCGACGAGCCCCGCGTGGTGGAAACATGATCGTTATTCTGTTACCGGACCTTTTTAGTTCAACCATAAGTTTAATACCTTTACATTTCTTTTCATTATATCTCTTCTTCCACCTTATTTTCTTTTTCGACATACTTTCCTTCCCCCCGTTTCAGCCGTGGGGCCCGCGAAAGTCGCCTTCGATGAGCTGACGAATCGCCTCCTTGGCGCCTATAAAGCGGCTGTCGAGTCAAAGGAAGAGAGTGTAAAAAGGAAGCTGAATGTTTTTCTCCAAAAATGCCAGAAGATGTTCGATTCAACTTGGTAGATGGAGACATTGACTTCTCCTTCTCCGGTACACACCCGGCGGCGCAGCGGCAATCGCAGCCTCAGCAGCAACCTTTACAGCATGCAGAGGCTCGTAGGAAGCGCAGGCAGGGAGCTGGCGCAGCTGCAGCAGAAGCAGAGGCGCCAACCTCCGCTGCTGCAACCATCCTGCAACAGCAGCAGAAACTACTGACTCAGCAGGGCAAGAGGCGGGAACGCAACCTGCAACTCCTCTTGAAGCAGCAGCAGCAGCAGCAGGAAGAGCAGGCGAACTCAGATGATGATAAGAACTTTAGCAGCGTAGCCAGGCTCTCCAAGAGCATAGCTTCCCGCCAGCAGCAGCAGCAGCAGCTTGTTGCAGCTGCACAAGCTGCTGCAGCAATAAATAAACGAAAGAAAAAGAAAAAGAAGAAAAACAAAGTCGACTCTTCGCAACCGGCTCAAAAGGAAGACGGGGAGGAGCAGCCAACGCCTGAGGCAACGGCGGGAGCAGATATCGATAGCAGCAGCAGCAGCAGCAGCAGCAGCAGCTCTAGCAACAAAAAGAAAAGGATGAATCCAAGCTCTTCTTCGCCAGGAGATGAGGGAAGCTCTACTACTGCTGACTCCTTAGAAGAGGATAAAGGAGGAGATGGAGACAGAGAGCAGCAGCAGCAGGGGCCAAAAAGAAAAAGACAGAGACGAAAACCACAGCAGCAGCAGCAGCAGCAGGAACAGGAACAGCAGCAGAAGCAGCAGGAGGAGGATGGGGAAGGGGATGAAGAAGGCACTTGGGAGACGGAGCAAAATCTAGGGCAGGGTTGGGCAGCAGAGGACAAGAAGTTGGAGCAGCAGCAGAAGCAGCAGAAGCAGCAGCAGCAGGAGGAGCAGCAGCAAAAGAAGTGGGTGAAGCTAAGGTCTAAGACGAAGGGAGGCCGCAGCATAATAATAAAACGTGCTGTTAATGATGGCAGCAGCAGCAGCAGCAGCACAAAGAGGAGAACAAAGACAAGAAGCAGACAAAAAAACATTAAGAAAGATAAGAGACCTGATAACATGGTACGTAAACCCTTGAGTGTTTAGGGTTTAGGGTTTAGGGTTTAGGGTTTAGGTCGTGAAGTGTACAGCTGCAGCTAAGACGTACAACTCTATGCAGATTTCTTGCTGCTGCCGTTAGTGCTGCTGTCTCTGTTGCTGCTGCTGCTGCAGTGTGCAGCTGCTGTCATGCTGGATACTTGTATGTGCTGTAGCCGTAGATTGCTGCTGCTGCTGCTGCTAGTGTAGTTCTGTTTGTTTGTGCTTCCTACCAGCTCAGCTGCAGCGGAGTTAGCTGGTGCTGCTGCTGCTGCTGCTTGTCTTTGTTATGCAGAAGCCGACGTATTTAACACAAAAGAAGAACTAATGTATTATTCCTCTTTTTTTTTGTTTATTTCTCCCCTTATATAAACAATGATGAGTAAACAGCATAAAAAGTGCTATTTCTCTCTTTATTTTATTTTATATTTTATTTTATATTTTATTTAATATAAACAAATAATAATATAAACTTTTATTTTAGTCTTTTGCTTATATAGCAACTATACAATTCTATTTGGAGGCTAAAGCCCTCTCCTTAGTTTCTAGGGTTTGCGATTTATATCTAGGGTTTAGGGTTTAGGGTTTACGATTTAGTTTTAGGGTTTAGGGTTTAGGGTTTAGTGTTACAACGAAAGGTTTATATATCTCCACCAAAAAAGACTGAAGGCTGTATACAGTTAAAAGGGCAAACAGTCTGCTGGCCTTAGCTTCCTTGACGGAACAAATCGTATTCAACTATGGCAACAGTAGACACTGGAAGGGGGCGTTTCTGCATTCTCGTGCTGCTGCTGCGGCGGCAGCGGCGTCAGAAGCAGCAGCAGCAGCTGTGTTTGCTGCTGTGATAATGCTTTCGTTGCTGCTGCGGCAGCTGATATTGTTGCTGTGTCAGACATTGTTGCTGCTATGGCAGCTATTGTTGCTGCTATGCAGCTAATGTTGCTGCTGAGGCAGCTGCCGTTGCTGTTGCTGCTGTTGCTGCTGCTGCAAGAAAAATTGCCCTACGGCCTCTCGCCGGGGAAGCAGCAGCATGCATGCACACAACGAACACCGTGAGTTTGTTGACTTGTATATACATGAATAATTTGTTTTATTTACTTCCCTAAAGGATTTAACCAAACAAATATCCTCCTTTTTTCTTGATTATAACCTCCTCTTCTCCCTAAGAAAAAAGCAAAAGATATTCATGTTGTCATCAGTACCAGCAACCGATACAAGATCTGCCTAATGCAAATCGTCTTCTTCTTCCTCTAAGTCGTCGTCTTCGTCGTCGTAGTATTCTTCTTCATATCTTCCTTCCTCATCGTGGGGAATTCGCATGCGTCTATCCTGTACTAAGAGGCATAAAGGCCATTTCTTAAAGGGGCAACCCATCTTCCCGTATGCCCAGAAGACAATATACACCGTGAGGGCCATCACCACCACCTCTAGTGCTCTATCATACCAGAATTCCTTGGTCTTTACAGCTTGTCGAAGAGGCAGCATCACGGTGAATTCCTCCTGTTCTACGGACGCAGAAGTCTGCCCATCTGCAGCACCACTCTCGGCATCAGGAGAGACTGCCGGGGATGCAGCAGCAGCAGCAGCAGCAGATGGTGTAGCTAGGTTGATAACATCATCAGATGATTCCGAAGGTGGTCTATTAACCGGATCACCTGCATCTGCAGGCGCAGCAGAACGGGGTACGTCTACCTCACTTACTCCCTCTCCATCACGACCACTGCCCGAGGAGGAGCACAGACAAACTGGGAGAAAGCAGAGGAAAATAAACAAAAATCGACGCATTGGCCTTGATTCCAATTGTCATATACCTTTTCCCACGTCAAAATGAAAAAAAAAATGACGCAAAATAGACACGAGGATGTGCAGATCGATGAAAACGCAAGTACGATGTTAAGAAGGGGGGTTCTGTGTTGTGAGTATAGCAATGCTAATGCATAGGTCGTTCCAGAAGAAATCGAAAAAATTTATCAAATGTTGTCTCCTTTCTTAATTAGCAAAACAAAATTTAGCGTCATATCTAGTAGAAGCACTCATCATCTGATCTCACGGACTGCGGCCCTCTGTTCTGTCCCGCTTGGCGGCGACAGCTGCCTCGACCAGGTACTACAGATGGGTACAAATCGAGACAAATATTGTTCATTATAAACAACGAAACATTTAACTGCAAAATTAAGTGCATATTAAGAGTAATATTGACGTAAAAGGAACGAAAGTAGGCGGCTTTCCCCTGGCTAGGACAGGGCGATCCACTCTTCTGGAGGGAGGATTGACTGCGAGTTGGGTGTAACCACATTATAGCATGCTGGGGACGGCATTTCTTCCCAATAAATTCTGCTAAAAGTCTATTTTTATTCTTAAACTAACCTTATTGTGGACCATAGAGGTATAATTAGGGGTGTTGTTCCGTGACAACACGGGGATTTTTGCCCGTAGTCCTTGTTCCCAGGCTAGGTGGCCCCCTTAGTGCCAACTGAGTTACTAGCAGTTGCCTTGGTCAGTGAGCTAAAATGGGGTGCTCTGATGCTTATCTTGCTTGTAGTCGGCGTTGCCTTGCAGCATGGGACTGGGGTGCACAACCCTAACGCAAGATCTGGCTGCAACGAAGTGGAACTACGTAAGGTAAGACGCACAACACACCAACAGCCATGCAAACAGACACACAGAGAACAGCTGTTTCAGCCTACACTACAGACTGCAGTCATCTAGGGCACAAGCCCAGAAGAGTTTGTTGTTAGTGATGCTTAGAGATAGCAGATTGTCAGCAAAGCTTTCGTTAGGCTTTTCCCAAGCAGAGTAACCTGTGGGCATCTTTGAACGAAATTTTATATTCCTAAGGAAAAGAATAACTGTACACAACTGCACCTCTGTTGAGAAAAGGAAGTATGAATATGTATTGGGATTCGGAGGCCACTAACAGTGAGCCAGACCAGCAGAAGAGCTGGTTACGAAAATTCGCAGGAAAGGGCACAGCAGTGCAAGGCACAAAACAACAGAAGTCACCTCTCCTGATTTAGTTCTTTTATCCGGGGGCACCCGTCAGCAAGTGACTTATGCACGCATGCCTGCCCTACAGCATGTTTCTTTTAGGCGGCTGTTGTATAACAAACTAGAGAATTACAAGACTATACTAGATCTCAACATACAACACGCATCCGCTTACATTTGCGTTCAACGTAGTTTCAACTTGCCGCCTGACTTTTTGTCGGTCGGAGGAACTGTTATATCGAGCTCCCTGTGCTGAATACACTGCCCGTTCACATAAAAATATCCCTACAAACACAAGAGAGAAAAGAAGCAGTTCGGCGAAAACACGCTTAAGTTTCAGGCCCCGTGCCCTCATAATAACAAATAGAAGCGGTGGTGAGAGCAGGAGGTAACAATCTATAAACGTAGGCAAAACAGGGCAAGGAGAGCAGAGTGGGCTATAGACTTACCCCAAGGCATGTGAAGGCAGGAGCAACCTCCATGTAGCATCCGCCTTCTGCGTTTTCAATGAACCCTTCTGGGCAATGCACCAGCGGTTTTCGTTTTTCCTGTCTGTAGCACATATCTTGATTGCGAATTTGCACCGGAGATATGAGAGGCTTCTTGGGTTCTTTTAGATCATGCCTGTATACCTGTGGACCCGCGCTAGTCGGCATGCCGAAGACGCCAATGGTTGGGTCTGAATAACGCCTTTCTGGAGGCAGATGGTGTTTGTGTTTTGCAGCTGCTTTCGCTGCTGCACGTGCAGTTGCTGCTTCAATCTTCAGCTGATGCACAGGGTCATGGATGTGCCTCCACTGATTGACGCCCATGATGAAATAGGCATAAGGCAACTTGGTCACATTGAGTCGCCGAGTAGAGTTGTGTCGGGCTTTCCTATCTTCTAGCACTTCTCCTTCATTCGCATTAAACAATTGTTCGGTATTTGTTCTTCCGCCTCCATCGGTCTTCTGAAGCCTTACCAAAGATTCACGAGATGTCCCGCCACGTGCAAGTTCAGTTGATTGCCCTCCTTCGCTCTCTTGAACGTAATCTGTAAAGGAATCCCCAAGCTGCCTATCTGTCCCGCTCATGCGCTCGATGGCCACCTTGTCTTCGGCGGCTGCTAATAAACGCCTGAGAACCTTCTTGATTATTCCCCTGTCTGTTCCTTCTGAATCAGCGTTCACATGTGGCGAGCGATGGTCCTGAAACAGATTCATCTGATTCAACTCTTCATCCGTAGAATATTCAGACGGCCAGAGTGTATCGCTGGCATTATCTTCAGATTCGCTTGAAAATACTGAATGAGGAACTTCATCCTCAAAAAAGACATCCAATATCCCAGGAGGCGCCGACCATTGAGTCTGCTCCTCTGATTGCTTTTCCTCCGATCTATTTGCTGTGCTTCCAGAGATTTCCCCTTCTTCATTGTCCCCTCCACCATAATGGATGTCCTCATCAGAGCCTTCACCTTCTGCTGTTGCATTCGTACCAGCAGGTCGGCTGCGGCGCTGCTGCCCATCCGTCTGCCGCCCACCTGCTCGATTTGCTCTGCCTCCAGAGATTTCCCTTTCTTCATCGTCCCCTCCACCACCCTGGGATGCACGTCCGGATTCTCGAGCACGCTGGGTCTGCTGCTGAGGCCGTCTTGAACACGAACGGCTCGAGAACAGAAGTAAGCACAGTCACACTGCACAGTGCAAGGGTCAGGAGAGGACGAGTAGTCTACGTCTAAGAGGTCGTGGACCTGCACCAGACGCAGGAACTCCAACGGCGTCCGCTCTCGGAAGGAGCGGTAGAGATCTGAGCAGTGACAGAAGTAGTCTCGGAAGTGGAAGACGACAAGCATTCGCACCAGCAGGTCGGCTGCGGCGCTGCTGCCCATCCGTCTGCCGCCCACCTGCTCGATTTGCTCTGCCTCCAGAGCTTTCCCTTTC